AATGTCTTTTCGACACTTCCCAACCGAAGACTAAAATCTCGGGCAAAGGCAGCAGTGATCTCTGGGCATTTCGAGTGATTCTTTGCAGTTCTGCAAATATAGTTACGGAGGCTTAATAAAAGCTTTCTTGTACGTACGACTTGTGTCTTATTGATTTCGAGAAAAAAACGGGTTTATATAAACTCAGCCTGTGACGAGAGAACTTATTTTAAGAATTGGGCATGTGTGGCATATCGTTCTCAGTAGTTGCAATGCAGAAGAATTAAAACGGTTATGAACACATGATCACTACAATTGCTCTGTATCTTACTCTTTGCTAATTTCAGAGACGAAGGCATAAGACCTGCGCTTGAAGAAATTCATTTAAATTTTCTTGTTTGATTTTGTTACTTTGATTGCTGTACTTAACTTAGATGCCTGGTCACCACTTTCGCCAAAGTCTAGTTTTCTCCCAGTAATTTAGCAAAGTTTTATCGTTTCGTTCGGGTTGATGGTCTGCTGTTTTCCAAACAGTGGTTCAACTTCAACTTCATCTAATTCTGGAAGCGTTCTAGTCTGTGCGCGTTTCAGCCAATATGATCGCCATATAACGACGATCAATATTTGATGGTGGGGTTATCGCCCCTAACCGCGTTCGGCCCCATGTCCGTGTCAGAAAGGAGCAAATTTTGAGAGAGTTACGGCGCCTCCGTAAAGTTTATTAACCTGCACCTCCTCGTATTGTCTTCCTCGAAAAGTATACCAAATGCATCGTCGCCCGGGCTACCAGCGGTTGCGAATTCTGTTTGCACTCTGAGACAAGCGGCGAAAAGTCGGCGATCCGAACCCGCTGATCGACTTCTGGCAAACGGTGAAATAGCAGTACAACAACGTCTGCCGAAGATAGACGAAACCATGACGAACAAATCAATCGCTGCCCGTTCTGAACGGATGAGGCAGACAACACGATGTCATTATAGCATGTCAGAAAATGGTCGACGAGAACGACGCTGCCAGTGGGAGCATACAGGCGGAAATTGGAATATATCGTCATTCAGAGGGAAAGAGCAAGAGTTAGATGATGAGGCCATAAAGCACTGACTCGATATTGTCGGATTCTCGTCAAAGAATCGCCAAGACTCTGGAATCCTGAACCTCTACCGGTGGAAGTGGTACTCACGTGTCACTATCACGATGTGCACCCAGGCCGGTTTTTGTGTTCTAGTAGAACCCAACCTCGAAAATGGAATCATTGAGTGGAAGCCTATCAGCGGAAGGGTGGTAATCATCTGACTGAAGGTACGACAGGTTAAAGCGTTGACCTTGGTGCAAGTACATGCGGCCAATTTGGAAGGAGAACATAATACCTTCCTTGAAAACTTGGAGTGTCCTCTGTGCGAAGTGCCAGCAGAGAATATCTCATTCTCATGGGCGATTTTAATGCGCCTGTCGAAGTAGACACTGAAAAGTGGAAAGGCGGAATTGAAAAGGATACGGATTGTCCATTATGAACACCTTCTTCGAGCACCGAGAAGTGCATCAGTACACCTGGTACCGGGAAGCTTATGCACAGAAGTCGATGGTGGATTGGATAATTGTATCATCTGAATTGGGACGTTCAGTAATGGATGTTTGCGTTAAGAAAGGCGCAGAGCTATCAATCGATCAGCGCCTTCTTGTTGCCACGCTGCGCTGTAAGAAATGGAGTACCATACAAAGACCTAGTGACAGAAGCAGCCAGAGAATCAAATCGGAAACGTTATCCTTGGCGGACAAGACTTGCAGGCAACGACGACGTTTTGAACAGATCCCGGTGAAGAGCGCAATTGTGGAAACCAAGTGGGTGTTCTTTAACAGCAACGTACTTGGGGCTACCTCTGAGTGCTGCGAATTCAGAGGCCGTTCGTCTACCGCCTGGAGATCAGAAAAGATCTTCTTGGTGGACACGAGAGGTACAACTGGCAGTTAAAGAGAAGA